TCATGTCTTTATAGATTGATGAATACTGTAAAACAGCCATAATAACAAATTCATGTCCACATGAAATCAGGATCTTTGAATGGTGGTTTGTGAGCGCCTTCTGCTGGAGCTTAAAGGTTTTGCTCTAAACCACTAATAACAGACATGCAGAGCTGAAAAGAGATGATTTAAAACCTTTGGAGAACTAAAGGAGTAACCGTGTAAATGCTGACCTCTGACCTCTCTCTGTGTCCTGCAGGAGACGACCTGATGCGCTGCGTGGATCTGTACAACCAGACGCAGTGCAAGTGGTTTGAAGAGATGGTCACCACCAGCATGGTAGGAGAGGGTTAATGCTCACCTTCTGAAATGACACAGACACCTTATTTCAGCTTCTGTCAGAAAAACAATGTCAGTGTTTCTATCTATCGATGTTTAAAGGTGAAAATTGGTTGATTTAGCTATTTAGTATTATTAGTACAAGTACAGCAGTCGGGTCGAAGTTAATGTCCATTAAATAAGATTTAAGGGTTTAACAGGTTTTCTCCTTTTGTCTTCAGGAGCTGGAGAAACTGGAGGTTGAACGGATCGAGTGGATTCAGCAGCATTTACGTCAGTACACGACTCTGAGACACGAGACGGACATGTTCAATCAGAGCGTGAGTTCGAGCTCCTTCTTCCTGTATTCAAACGATTCTGAAGGTGTAACTATGTCCGAGTATCAAGTCTGAAAACAGGCTTTTAAACATTCTGGATTCATGTTTTCATTTTTCTCCTCGGACATTGATTGAAACTGTCTCTGGCATGAGTGGCGGGTCTCGCGGTGCGAGCGTAGAAGCTTTGACACATCGAGCCCTGCAGTCGTGTCAACTCGCTGTCATCGCTGTGAGACGCTCTGCTCGTTTAGGAGGCGGAGAGAAACCTGCTGTGAATCTAACGAGACGTAGACAAACTCCTCAGGGGGACAGAAACATTAGAGATCAACCTGAAGATGATCTGTGGGCAGAACGTACATTTAAAGTTACACATCTCCTATAAAATTATACTAACGGACAACAGCCACCTGTATTTAACCTTTATAATACATTTAAAGACCTTTTTGTAACAGTGATTTAGTAATTGCATCTCATTTGTTTAATTTGTACAAAAAAACAAGTTAACTAATGTGCAACGGCAGCTTGCTACGGTTGTACGGACCCGTTAAAAATCCCTAAATTATGATGTAATTGTTGATGTGTGTGTGTGTGTGTGTGTGTGTGTGTGTGTGTGTGTGTGTGTGTGTGTGTGTGTGTGTGTGTGTGTGTGTGTGTGTGTGTGTGTGTGTGTGTGTGTGTGTGTGTGTGTGTGTGTGTGTGTGTGTGTGTGTGTGTGTGTGTGTGCATGTAGATGGTGGAGCCGGTGGACCAGCTGCTGCAGAACGTGGATCCAGCCAAAGACAGGGAGCTGTGGGTGAAGGAGAACAACACCGGCGACGTCCGACCCGTGGACATGGACATATAGACCGCCCTGACCTGGGATCAGCCGTTCTGTCTTCAGTATTACAACACATACACAGAGTCACAGCTGATAACACTGATCCAGGGACGGTGCATGTCCAGACCACCGAGGTCTGCTCATCCTCTCTCCGGCTGGAACAACAGCAGGAAAGATTCACACATAACACAGTCAGGAAACGTGATGACGGGTCAAAGTACCAGCATGTTCCTCCTAAATTTAAACCCTCTCATAATCAACATTAGCTTATTGAATGCCATTTAACATATTCTGCTGTTTACCTGTTGTAAAGTTGACACTATTAGAAAAATTACATGTATTTTGAATCGTTTAGTTCAGCTTCAATCTACACTTGTCACAGTTTGAGTGAGCCAAACAAAAAAAACACAAAAAAGTCTAATTATTGATATTACCTTTATTTTAGATACGGATATTGAGATCTTAGACTGAATTTGATATATTTTCATATTTTGCCGGATCATTTTTGGTGGAAATGCATGTTTTGAATATCTTGCTTTTTCTGTATATGGAGAGCTGCACAATTTGTGGACCCGCGATGGTTGTTTTTAGTAAAGTCCGTTGAAGTTACACAAAGTATCCTGGCAAGTGACAGAAATTAGGAGCTTTTCTCTCTCACACACACACACACACACACACACACAACAAAAACAAAAAACATGTATAGCAGTAATAGCCGGTAACCTCAGTTGTTTAAAAAATAACAAAACATACATACAGTGCTTTTTTTTGGAATGTGATTTTGATTCTGGTGGTGGATCACATTTAGGCCCAGGGTCTATTTTGGATCAGTCCGGAGGAAAAAGGTGGTCCAAGTTACACTGAAACACCTTTTAGTGCCTAACGGTTGTATACCTGGAATGTCCTTGACATACTCTACTGCATCAGTGTGCATTTGTACAGGCTAGACGTATTTTGCTGTCAGATGTTCTAACATCGACGAGGTGTTTGTACCGTACGACGTTGTTTGTTTTATTTTTTGGGGGTAAATGTACAGAGGATAACTTTGCTTGAAAGCGGAAAAATTCAGCAAATGTAAAAAACACTCGCAGACCAGAACGTTATTGATCTGAAGCTGATCCCACTTGCCCAAATGAAAAACGCATTTATATCAGAGACTGCATGAACAGTGTGTGTTTACATGTGTGTTTGTCTTTTGTCCTTTACATTTGTGGTCGATTATTACCTTTCTGTGGGCCGTCTCTTTAAAATCTCTCAAAAGCACGAAGCCGATCAGATGAAGATTAAAGTCGTAATCCAGCTGCTGAGCACAAGAAAAGAACTGCTATTAAAAAATTAAATATATATATATATATGCTCACCTGCCTTATCAACAACATTCATAATGCGTAGAGTGCTTTACATTATTTTTGTGTTAAATGAAAATGCGCAGGTTTAAATAGCATATCTGTCGTAGAGGTTTTATCAGTGTGTGTCAATGTTGTGCACTAAATGTAACAAAGTTATTACGTTCCAACTAAATGTCTCAACGGTTTCACAATGACGTAACGGTCGAGTTTACTGCCCCCCCCC